AAACTAAACTTTTTTATTGTACGTTTACGTCACTGTTTCTTTAGTTCCTGCTGTCTGCTTTTGTAAAATCAAAAATGAAAGCGTCAACTTTGATAGAAATGTTTTTATAATAAGAATCATCTTCAATTCAGTGTCTGCCCACTCTACAGAATTAAAGTTGAAGATACATCAATGTTCATCAAAAAGAAATGTACTCATATAACTTATAATCAATAATCAAAGCTGAATGTTATTAGATCATAACACTAATGACAGGATATATTTTCTCAGGATTTATTGTGAGGTCAGTGTCTGTTTGTGAGGGAAGCTGAGAAAAGGGCTGTGCTGGAAAGAAGGACAGTAATTAGCCTGTTGAAGCAGAGTAATTAGGTGTGTGGTTCCTACTAGGGCAGAGTGAAAACAAATTTTAAAAGGCAAATGATCCAATATGACAGCACCCCAGATAATCAGAGCAAAGGTATAGTCAAAGCCAAGGGGAATCGATAAAGGAAAATGTCAATACCTGTGAGAAAAGGTTTTCTCTGCTCTTTGAGTGGACTAAAAAGAAAACAACATAATGGTGCTTATTGAAATACAACTGCAAAAGAAAATCAGGTATGAGTTATATTTAATGAGATTGCATGGTCGTAAGTGTGTATTGGATTCATCATACTTCTCTTAATCTCAGAGCTTTGGAATTTATTGTATAGAATTATTTTTAATTTTTGTAGATTAATTTATTTCAAGAAAATTCAGACTACATGACATGCATGAATATTATTGCAGTTTATAACTGAAAACTATTCCTATCGTTACAACTTTACAACCTTATATGTAGGGTTTGGGGAAGCATCATGAGCACATACAATCACACATGATATCAATGCACAGATGATGCATTGTTGCTTAGTTAAAATGGGCCTCACAACAGAGGTGAAAGTTCGTGTATGCAGTGAGTGACGTCCTGCATTCAGACAGCCTCATGTTGCTTTGTATTCATGGACGAGCTGTTCAGTCTGGCCATGTACTGTACAGTACCAGTCTGCCTATGTGCTTTTGTGTCCGTGTGAAGGACGGTCTGCCCCAGTTAGGCTACAAAAAACACATTTGTGACATCAGTGAAAAGATAGGAACAGTGTGCTTTGCTCTGCCTCTATCAAAGAGCACAGTGAGTCAAGGCCTCAAACGTTCCCACCCCCTCTACATCTTTCTGAAGCATTCATGTGTAAGTAAGAACATGTTACAGACAAGGCATATTATGTTCATGTGATGAACTCACCCCTACACATGTGCTGTTTAAAAAAATAGTTAATGATTTTAAAGGCTTTTGTTGAGGGGTTTTCAGGAACTTCTTGTCACGCAACTCTTCTTCCACCACACATTTAGATGATCACTGGTATTTTATTAAGAGTATCATAATGGCATTAAAGTTATAATACTTCTGCATTTTATTAGATATAGCCGTTCAATGTATTTAAATTCTGCATACAGTAGTTTTCACTGCTAGTGGCAGAGTCCACCACTCCTGCACTTGATTCAAATTGCCTACCTAAGCACAAGATTTAAAGGAAATGATGCAGCACATAATTCAGCGTTACTGTTTGTAATTCTGTCTCAATGATATCAGCCTCAATGTTTACGGTTCACTCTGCTAACTGCTACCAGAGCTGTATTAAATTACTGCCAACACTAACCCAACATTTCCTACAGCTACAGTGTCTACAAAACAAGACAGCAGTCATTTTCTGTATTTCTTTGACAACAGATCAGTTTAAACTATTGCAGGGTGTAATGGACAAGTCAGGAGGAGCCACAGTGAGCTGTTAGATGAAGAGTTACAGACCAGAGGCTGGACGGCTCCAACTGAGCAAGGTAACCAACAACTTCCACAGTGTCCTGCTGTTGTGGAAAACTACTCTCAGCATACGCAGCATGAAGTCAGATCAAAACGATGTGATATCTGTAAATAGATAAAGCAGTTGCTCTTCTGTTGTATTCCTGACAAAGTAGCTGCTCAAGGAGTGTTTCCTGTACTATTAAACCCCACTTGCTTCCACCACCAATAACCACGGACGCCAAATCAACTAGGACTGAAATCTTGAGAACTGTAAGACTCTTAATATTATCAATCATAAAGGAATTTTATGCTTAATCTGTTGTCATACTGTGCTGTGCATAAGACTATCAGCTGCACTAAATTTCTAAAATGTAAAAGGGGAGATGGAAGATGCACAAAAGAGTGCTGTTACTTCCTTTGACCGTTGCTGGGAGCCCTGGGTGCCAGTCCTCTACTTTATGGCCAGGCGGTGATATAAAAGAGCCTCTAACCTCTCCCGAGCTGGCATTACCATAAGTAAACCCCGCAAAGCACGTCATCGCTGTGGGCAAATATCAGGGTGGCACAGGTTCTCTCCTCTCTCTGCAGCCAAGTACAATCCTCAGCCTTATAGAAATCAAGGGACGAACTGACACTCCAGGGATGATCTTTTCACTCTCACCATCTTCCCGCCTTTTTTCTTTCTCTATATGAAACAGGTTTTTGGGAGTGTGGCATCATTGTGCCACTTGCTGGATTTAGTGTAATAGTGTTAGTCCCCTGTTTTGTACTCTCATCTTCTATTGCTTTGCTTTAAAAAGCAGACTCAAATGTTTTTCTTGAGGTGCTTTAAATGGTCAATGAAGCCACCAAAAGCTTCTCCACCCTCCATCTTCCTGATTGTCACTGTTCCTTCTCCATCTCGCTTTCCACACCTTTTCACTCCTCCATTTCTCTTTCTTTCTTTCTTCCTCCTTCTCTTCTTCTCCTCTCACAGGGTGGAATGTGGCTGTGTGGGCCAGTGTCAACTGTGGTCTATCTGCTGTCATAGCCAGCAGCCCGAAGGCTCAGAGTCAACAGGGCTGGGCTGTAGCCGCTTGCCGCTGCGCTAAGTGAATAATTGCACTGTAAGACGACCGCTGCTTCACGGCTACACCACCGCACACACCACTTACACTTTACGCACACACACACAAAGCTGTACACATACACACACCTGACAAAAACACACTGCAAACAGCTGGTTTTACTCTGTAAAGGCTTCTGTACTTTGAGCACTGAAGCCTGGGGACGTTAGATTGTAGGCCACAAGAGAACTTTTTTCCAGTGGTGGATTTTGCAGCGTTTAAGCAGCTCTTAAGGCTTTTGACAAGTTTGTAACCCATTTAAAAGAAAACATCGGCTCTGTGCAGTTGTATAGTTACTACTTGAAGCAGCAGTGTTTCTAGGTTCAAGTGCACTCTGTTGATAACTCTTATTTATATATAGCACTTTTCCAAAGACAAGTACTTAAAGGATAATGGACACCATGATAACAGTAAAAGTGAAAGTAAAACTACTACTACTGAAGGCCACAGGTTAAAATTGTACTTGTCCTGCTAGTTATATTTTGTACAAACGGAAGGCTGTCAATTAATTAGTACAGCAAACAATTTAAAGTTACATGAATTAAAGTTCTAATTAACTAAATATCCTTTTCTTAGTAATGCTCCTGAGTTGACAAATGGCTATAATATATTTCTAAAATATTCTCAAACTCAAAAACCACCCAAAGATGTATGTCCTCATATTGGACCATAAATTGGCTGGAATGTGTTAACTGTTTGATTACTTAGAAAGTACCACAAATAATAAGTCATGTGGCAGAGTTTGTGTGTCATGGAAAAAAAATATGTTTTTATAGTATAAACCCAAAGGTAGCAGATCAATTTGTTTTTAGGCCCAGCGGTTTTGTAGGCAATTAACGTCAATAATTGGACGTCCAAGATTTTACATCTCTTACACAGGTTATGCATGAGTAGACAGAAGAGAGGTCTGATGGGTTTACTGAGTGTGTATTATCAGCATTAGAGCATCAGTGAAAATAAATATTACAGTTGTGAATTACTTGACCCAGAGGTATCATGCAGATTGAAAACAATAAAGGACAAGAATAGAGCCCTGGGGAACCCCAAAAGTAATTGTTGCACTACTAGCAGAGACTTTTCCAACTGACACAGCCGTCAAATAGAATCTGTCAGGGCCAGTTAGTTTTAATATGCAATTATCAAACAAAATAAAGGCAGCAGAAAAGGTCCGACAACACAAAATAGCACATGAGCAAATATCAAAGTTCTGCTGAATCTCACTGTCAATCTCAAACAACCTCAAATCTGACCCAAGCTAAATATAAACTCCACTCTCCAAACTCTCGGCTAAAAAGAGCAAATGTCATACAGATTTCTCATTATTAACACTGTCAGTGTCAAGATCAAGTTTCTTAAGACACTGCTGAACAACAGCTGATTTAAAAAAAGAAACTGAGGATAAACAATTATTAAAAACAAATAAAACATCAGGTACAAAAACAGTGCAAAAAAACCCCGCTCTCACTCTATTGAACTCTCACTCTATTGAACTCTTGAACCACCTACGCTTATACTCTCTCTAACACTCATCTGGGGGATGCTGGGAGACCCTGACAGCTTAATGTGGATGTGATTAATGGTGCAGAGCTCTGATGCCATCTAAATTATGCTAGACGTGAGTCTGCATAGCAGCTACTGGACGTTACAGTTGCAAGTGTGTGTGTAATCCTCTCTAACCGTGATCCTGCATAGGAGCAAATAGTCAGCTCTGCACTGCCAAAACCAAGTGTGTAAGCGTGTGTGTGTGTGTGTGATGTACCAGTCTTTCGCAGTGGGAAGTCATCCCGGGGGTTGTAGACACCCAGCACAGGGTGGTTGTAGGTGGACACACCAGTCTGTGGAGGCGAGCTCTGGTCCAGAGAGCTGTGCTGAGTTTTGCTATATAACAAAAACACAAACACACACTATGTTAAAGGTGCCACCAAGATCAACTCAGTGGACATGAGATGACTAAATGAATCTGAACAAAGTCACTAACTTCATGACTGTCAAAGATCTGTATGATTAACGCATTATGCAAATCCCTTGGCAAGGCCTGCAGACATGTGCCGCCATCTGTTCACTGCCTACAGAATAAGGTGGTGTTTGTAGGCAAAGTTAAGCCGAGTTGGCTTCAGACCAAATGCGTGTTCCTGACAAGCGGATGTACACACTCATATATTCCAAAACTGACGGGGGCTGATAAGTCCAATGAGTGAAGAAAATTTACATTAGGGAGAGAAAGGAATATAAAAGTAGAGACAGATATAGAAAGAGAAAGTCTGTATCGCTTTGAGCTGTTGAAAAGTCAATGCTTGTGGGTGTTTTATTGGGTCACACATCAAGATTATGTAACATTTCTATGGTTATGTATTTGCATTTTATGGTGTTAGTTTTTTTATCGTGACAAAAGTAAATACATTATCATGGAGAACATAACTTGGAAACTATGTCTGACACTCAACTACAAAGTTGAAATATTTTAGGGTTGTGCCAGCAGAAGTGGAAAGTAACTAAGTACATTTACTCAACTAGTGCACTTTGTCCTGTACAATTTTCCTTTATACTTGTACTACTACTGTTTAAACTAAGAAACACTGCAGTGCAAAATAAGGTTTTAGGACTCGATTACAGACAAAAATGGCCAAACTGCTCAACACTTTATAAAGTTGTTCAAATCTCCTCCACGACAACCACCTACAACAAACATGATGCTCACATATTAATGCATCAGCGATAATAATCCTATAATATATAACAAACCAGGAAGACCAAAAATCTCTCCCATTAGACAAGCATGTCTACCAAAAGACATATCAGGTAATTTCCGACTCCTTCATTCAAAAATGTAAATAGTAAATAGCATTAATGACTGACAGTCTGACAGATTTTCTTTTTTACATACATTTGATTGGTGTGTCTATTTTCATATTAAATTCTTTGTTTTGCATAACCATGTTTCCAGTCATGCAAAGTGTACATGGTTACTCCCAGACACAATGAAAGCATGTGACAGGCGACTACCACAACGAACAAAGAGGAAACAGCAAATGTGCACACCTGCAAAGGGCTCTAGAGATGCTACAATAAACATTCAAGGCCGAGCCTTCGTTGTAAGAGCCCCTATCATCAGGTTCCAATATCCTGCCCTCGTGTGTATATGTGTGAGTGCATGTGTATTCCCATCTTTGTTTTATAACCCTGCTCAATCCATCTCTCAGTCAGGCTCATAGAGTGTGGCAGGTGAGGAAGAGGGGAAGCTCAATGACAGATTAAGACACAACCCAATAAATTATTCATCTGCTGTCAGAGAGAGAATTACCATCCAAACTTATAAGGATCTGCAGTTAGCTTCTACTGTATTCTACTGCTTACAAACATAACGAAGAATTGTTTACCAGGTTGCAAACTGACAGGAGTGACAGTGAATTATCAATTTCCTTTACTGTATAATGTAAACCACTAGCCGAGTTAGCTGAGTTAAATCTAAATGCATCTATACATCTACTTTTCGTTTTTGTGTATTCAAAGCAATAACTGTTCCTCACCGGTACCAGTAGGGAGCATCATTGGGGAGGCCTCCTTGGTTGAGGCTCCGCTGGGCTAGGGCCTTCTTCTTGTTCAGGACAAACTCCTGAAGTCGCATCTTCACCTCAGTACTGGCCACGGCACCTAAGGAGTGAAGATGTAGAAGAAAATGAGATACCGTATACACCAACTGACAAAGAGGATAGAGATAGGGCGATCAATGGTCCCTGTCCAAACTGGGAACATTTATGATTACATCTTGATTGTCTTAAACCCCGAGCCACCACTTTTACTATCAATTTTACTGTAATCTCGCAGCTTGAGACAACTAATTATGGAAATCTGAACAGAGATGACTGTTCAGATGATGAAAATAATCATAATACTGGGGGTTAAAGTTGATTTGCTAAATTAAACGTCTTCTCGAGTCTTCCAAACCTAATTAGTACAGCATAATGTTAGGTGATACCCCAATCTAGAGCTTAAACGATTAGTAGATTAATATAATACTAGCAGAAAATCAATCTGTAATAATTTCTCAATTGAGAAAATCCTCAGCCGATTTATTGATAATGACAGCAGCCTGATCATCACAACCAAAGAAGTGGGGGTTTTTGCAAGAAATAATGCAGAGGAAAAAAATGAAAACAACACAAAATGCTGGGAAAATGCAAAAAACAACAGCAGTTGCTCAGGTACACATGAGAGCAAACACACTGAGCAATCGCTCTCTCTCACACACTCGACTCGCACGGATGCAGCCTCGATCTGTAACCACTTTCCATATAGTGTGTAAACTGCACTCAAGGACTCCTGTCCACTCGCTTTCAATGAACTGTTGAGAGACATCCAGCAGGCAGCAGTAATAACTTGCTTTAGCCCCCACCAAGGCCACCGGCTAATACAGCTCGTTTACCACAGTGAATACACAGGTTCTCCAAGTAAAATGGAAATACACTGACATACAAATACACACACACATACTGTGAATACGGATCTCAACGGCCCTTTCTACCTTGGAGCATTTTGAATTCTTGAGAGTTCTTGCTAAATGGTTCAGACGCCCAAGCAGGCTGACTATCAAAACGGGAAACTAAACTTTTTGTCTGTTGTCCGCAGTGGTGTGATTTACAAGTGCTGTGAATACACCACTGGTTAAAATATTAAAATAAAGCGTGCTCACAATAACTGGATGCTATTTACAAGCTAATAACATAGTGTTGTGGCTGTTTCTTCTTCTGTTTTCCCAATATCTTTTCTTGTGAGAAATATTTAGTACAGATTTTCTGACAAGAGGTGTGAAACCTTTTGCAGTATTTTCTCCAACAACCGCTATTCTCCTGTTTCCTTCCCTCCAGTGTTTGTTGCTGCATGTGGCAATGTGTGAATACATGTTACATGGAAGGTGAGAGAAAATGAAAAAAAAAACACAAACTGAATTAGGTGTCAGGCTGAGTTGCGTTTTAAAATTTCAACGAGAAATGTGGTTTTGTGTGATTTTGTACTTTGGTAAATATGTTACAAAATGTGCAAAAAACAACAACTTTGAGCCATCCCAAAGGATGTCTGGTGGAACAAACTTAGCTTGGCACTGCTTCTCATTTTCTCATCTTGTTTCAGTTCTGTATCTGCAACTTACTCTCTTGTCCCCTCTCCTTGTTCTTCAGCAGCTGCAGTTTCTGCTCCCTCTGCTGTTTCTCCAGCTCCTGCTCCAGACGGTGATTCTCCATCTTCCTCTGGTGCTCCAGCAGCTCCTGCTGATGCTTCAACGCCAGAAGCTCTTGTTGCTGCTGCAGGAAGAAACATCAGAATCATGTCAGCAAAGATTTACCATCCAATGCCTGTTATGTGGAAAATAGTTGCTTGATAAATACATAAAATGTAATGTTTCTGACAGGGTAGATGGTTAATTAGTACACAAAGGTACTGTCTGTATTTTCTGTGTACTTTCGCGTCTTTTAACATCTATTCCACTCCTGGTCTGCTTAAGTTGACATCTGAAATAATTAAGTCGGACATCTGTTTGAGGCAATAAAATAAAACCTTTGCAATTCTATAAAAACCTCAGGCCACAAGCTTAAGCCTTTAAATAAACATAAACAATTTAACTGGGGATGAAGCTTTCGCAAGACACACAATCCAATCTGCTCACTTCCTCATCACTCCAGAAAAAGAGCGAGAGGAGCATCTGTTATATGCTTTAAATGTAAAAAGCTCTCCTCCTCAGGCCTTTTTACGGAATGAACAAGCCCGACTGTGGCTTGATAGTTTGTCCTGTAACCAAAAGGTTAAAAATAAAAGCCAAAATGTTCTCACAACCCCCCCCTTCATCCCACTGAAGTGTCCTTGAATGAGACCCAGAACTCATAGTGAGTCACTGTGGATAAGAGCATCAATTAAATGCTACAGATGCACTCTGAAGCCTCCGTTCACCTCCTTCGGATCCTTAATACATTTCTTCGACCTAAGGCACCAAATCAAGTGTCCCAATTACTCTTTAATGTCTCTGTAATATACAATAAATAGGCAAGCTGTCTGTGCTTGCACTCAGCCGAAACCATAATGACTTCTCTCTGACGTGCCAAGGAATCGACGCTCTGCCCTCTTTTTCCCCCTTATCATCACACACCCAACGGCAATATTTGATCAGTTTACTGTAACTGCATGTAATCAACTTCTGATGGCGTTTTTAAACACCCTAAATAGACACTCAGTAGCTGGGATATGTCCTTGTGTTTACTGTGAGGGCAAATCAAATGTTTGAGACAAGTCTGTGAATAAATTAGTCGCTGAAGGTGAGAGGAAGGTGAGGCGGGGCTCGTGAGAAAAGCACATTGGCTCTCTGGCCCACTTCCAGTCCGGAGCCTCAATCCTTTTTTGCCTTTCAATCAACGTTGGGGATAGGGGATTGAGTGGGTGGGAAGGCTCAAAGTAACCTCCCCACCCACATCCACACACAAACACATACACCCAAAACCCCTGTGGCTCAATAGACCAGAGATGTGCACACAAACCTTCTCTTTTAGACTAATGCTGTGAAGAGCTTCAGGATAGCTCTCACTTTATGAGAGTTCCCTGTTGTCAACATGCAAAAAAATGTGTGTGTGCTGTGTGTGTGTGTGTGTATATGCAAGTGTGTGTACTGCTGCCCCTACTGTGGAAGCAAACTGGGCATGCATGTGACTGTGTGTTTGCTGATATTTGAGAGGATGTGTATGTTTTAATGCCTCTATGCCTGTGCGTGTGTGTGTGTGTGTGTGTGTGTGTACACAGGGGCTGTGAATGGGGCTGATTGAGGCCGGGCCTCCCTGCTCAGGCTGTGCGTCACTGGCCTCCACTTGAGTGGTCCTGCAGCCCCACCACAGGCCAGACGGCCCTTCAGGCAGCATCACTCATGCCTCAACATCACAAAAACGGCCCAACAGAGGGGACTTATCGCTCCCACAGTAGATACTATAGTTCATAACGTGTGTGAAACATGCCTGGCCTAAAGCATTGCACAAGGATTTTTCACTACAGATGGTCTGTAGAAATGCAAACCAAATGCATAACCAGAGAGAAAAGAAGAGAATAAGTAAAAGAGGAATACAGGAAAGAAAGAGATAGGAAACATTAAGGTATGAGGAAAATGTGATAGGAAATGAGAAAGAAAGAGCAACTAAAGAAACTGAAAGAAAGGGCGTGAGGAAAGAAAAAAGTGTGGGAGAAAGGAGGAAAAGAGGACAGCAGGGAAGGACGAAAGGCAGGAAAGAAGTCAAGGAGAATGGGAGGGGAGAAAGAGAGGATAAAAAACGAGAAAGCAAGGGCGTCACGATAGATAGGAGAGCAATGAGAAAGAAAATAAAGCAGAGGAAAGACAGGAAGGAATGAAGGAAGAGAAAAACAAGAAGGGGAAGGGAAGAAAGAAGCAAGAACCAATTAAATGAAAGAAGGAAGACAGGAAGGGAAAAAGAGAGGGAAGGAAGACTAAGAAAGAAATTAAAATCATTACATTCAAACTAAAGTAATCCTGCATGTTAGAATCTAATCTCCTGCCCCCACAATCTATTTTTAGACATTTTATTGAAAGTCCTGAAAAAAAGTAGTTCAGCTGTTTCTGCATGTCTTACAATTCATATTACAGCAGTAATATCCTAAAACAGAACAAACACTAGAATATTTTTATATGACATTTCAGCCCCACAGGAGCTCTCCAGTGCTCTCAGGGGCCCCGATGTATTAAAGCTTCAGAGTGTGGGCGTGCTGATCTAGATTCACATTGTATTTCCAGGTCACTACGATACGAGCGTGTGATCCTAGCTTCATCTGTTATATGTCATGTACTGCTCCGCAATACTGGCTCAAAGGGACATTTTGTTTAGGTTCTGAAAAACAAAGAGTCCATGGACAGAGTCAAACATTAGCTCTTCATATTAAAACATGCTCCTTCTGAAAATACAGTATGTGCTACTGGATGCTGATATTTAAAGGCTACAGCAGCTCTGGTGCATAAGGGTTTACTTATGTAACACACCGGTGTTACAAAAGTCTTTCTTTCACACATTCTCTAAATCTAAGCACATCCTTATATTGCTGTTATCCATCCCTGAAGTTGAAGTAAATGAAGCCAAAGTGCTTTCTTGTTCTCTGCCCCCTCTTTACTCAGAGCAAAGAGATTTTAAGCTGACGGAGCTGCTCTCTGTTGGTGAGTTCAGTCTGTTAATGAAGAATCTTGTGACAGACTTAATTAAGAGCTGCCTCTGCTTTGTTTAGTAAAGTTTTAAATAGGTTTGGGCTACAAGCCTGCCTCTTGGAGGAGTTAAATAAAAACTTTGTCTTTTTGTGCAGCTTTAATTGTATTTGTTTATGTACTTTGCGGCTGAGACAGCTTGAATGATAGATGATGCTAATAAAAGTTACATTTACTGAATATAAACAAAAATGTGGCCCTGAATCAGATCTTGTATTTTACTTATCTATAAAATCTGTGTATGTGGTAGAGTGGTATTCTTCCTCCGATTAAAAAATACCGATTGTTTGAGTGGTGTGATTTAGGAGAGCGTAAAGTGAGTTCAGTGGTCTTGTAAATGGTTGTATAAGATGTGTTTAGATTTGCTAATTTAAAGTCTTGGAAAAGAAAACAGTATGTCCAGTATTATACTAGAGTAAATGTTTTTTGGAGACAATGACAAAGGTTCAACAAAGCAGCTCCCGCGGCACCTACTGGCAACAGGAAGTAAGCCCTGTGTGACCATCATCATTTGATTTACATGGAATTTTCATGCTCTGGTCAACACGTGATATACTGGAACATACTGCAACCGCAATATCTATTACTGAATGAAACATTTTATTCAAGTATTAATATATAAAAAGTAAAAGTACTCGTTACACAGAATGTCCAAATACGGAATAATGTACATATTTGAATTATAATTATTGATGCCTCACAAATTGTGTAGCTGGTAAAGGTGGAGATAATTTTAACAACTTAATATAGTTTTGGGTAGCAAATCTACAATACGTTATGAATTATTAGCTAATTCTTTTTTGTATTAATATTCAAAGTAACTGGTAAATAAGGGTGTCACAATTTTTGCTACTAAATGGAAATACTAAAGTTACGCTTCAGTAATGTTGTATAAACTATATAAATAAATGATGAGGTATACCTTAATGTGTTCCTGAAGCTGGGCCTCATGCTGGCGGGACAGCTGCTCGTGCTGCCGCTGGAACTCGGCGATGAGGATCTGCCGCTGGATCTGCTGCTTCTGCTTCAGGGTCAGCAGCTCCTGCTGCAGCTGCTGCTCGCGCACTGAGGCCGCCACGACGCCTCCCCCGCTGGCCTGGCCGGTTCCTCCCAGCGACCCCGGTGACTGCTGACCCTGCGGGGAGAGCGAGGACACCTGCTGCTGCTGTTGCTGGTGATGGTCCACGCGCAGGTCCATGGGGATGGCGGCTGGAGGGAGACGCAGGGGCAGCGCCGAGTTGATGTCCACTGTAGGGATGAGGAGAGACAGAGGAGATGTTGGAACAGAGTTGCAGTCATACGCGACACTTTGTCCACACAATGTTCGTTTAAATGGTTTGTTCCAAGAAAGTGTTTACAAGGTACTTTGGTGTTTGCGTAGTTAGTACAACTGCAAGGAGAGACAACATGTAGCTGGATGAGATTAAATAATTGCCCTTAAAAATGTGATTTAATGTGTCAGCCTGCTCAAGGATGCACAATTGAGCATTATAAAAAGACACCTGTGGGCGCCAAACTGCAGCTGTGTTTACTTTTATTTTTTAAACATGCATTTTAAGGCTAAAGGATTAAAACCGCTAACCTAAACACGCAAACACTAATATCAGAGTGATAAATCAAATTAGAGTTATACCTGATAATAAAACAACTTAATAGCCGTGTGCAACATGATGAATGCCTGTAATTGAGATGTATTGATTGCTTGACCAGCGATCACATACAAAAGGACTAAATCTTTCATATCTGTCAAAAGTAATGAGTCTGTACTCCCCATGTTCCATTTTTTAAATCATATCAGTTAAAGGAGTATTTTTCAATAGCTCACCCTGACCTCTGACCTCCTTGTGAAAGACAAGATAACAGAATGTTCTCATGGGAATCAATTAAGCTTCACACTGCATTAAAGAAATCCGTAGCAATGAAAAAGTGACATTGATGGCTATTTTGCCCACATCTCTCCTGCAAAAAACCTGCTGCACACACACACACACACACACACACACACACAAGCTATGACTGATGCTGCAGTTACACATGAAGCCCAGCGACATCCGACAAAGATTGCATTGACCCGGCGAGGTGCAGACCTTGAGCCGGGCCAGCCACCCACAAATCACTGCACAGGAAGCCTTCCAATCACGCGGCTTCCTCCCCATTAAATCTGAATAAATAGGAGTCGATTGGCTGATTATTTACCTACATGTTTACAGAGAGCACAGCGAGAGCCAGAGATACTTGCCTGCAACTTTGTGTTAATAAAGAGGCAAACACGCCATCACTGGAACACTTAATAGAAGGGTTACGGAGCCGCACGCATGGCCATACAAACACACAGATGCACTTAACATGAGGAACTACACGGAGAGCGTTACCCAGTGGCAAATTTACACTCGGGCTGCAACAGTTTGAAGCACGTACGCCTGAATCCTGGAGAGATTTCTCATGATTATTTTTAGGATGTCACACTTGCACTCAATCCAAGTGTGAAAATACCTTTAGGAATGATCATAAATACACTTTACTTCTCAAATAGCCACCCGGCCCCACTATGACACATTGATTTGAGGGATGTCTGACAAAAATAAGACACATCTCTCTTGCTAGAAGCATCTTTATTGAAAAATTTGCTGCTATCTTTTCGTTTCCACTCCAGTGTTTGAGACCAAATATCCTGCATCTGTTCGGCCCCAACACAGACACACTCTCATTCTCGGAGACGTGCCACGTTTGAAAAATAAAGCCGTAAAGCATTCATAGAAGATCCTTTAAATGGATTGCAGACTTAAGCTTGGAAACAGCTCTTCAGTGCAGACAAAACTATAAAATTGTCATCACAGGCATATGCGTATAAGAACGTATTTTGTGTTTTCGTGCAGTAGCTGAAACGCACCCTCCGTGGCTATTGTCAGCCATGGCATCGGAGAACAGAGCAACAACATGCAACAGGTCCTTAAGGACTGCCGTCATGTGGGGGATGACAACATCATATGAGTCAGTAGTCGGCACAGTCCTGTCATCTGCATCCAAAGTGAAAATTAGTCTATTTGTTTCAACCCACAGGACATACGGTTTGATATTTCCCCGTCATATGATGCCTTTTTTCTTCGCTCCTCAGTTATTAATTTCCCTAGAAGAAAAGGAGCTATAAGCTTTTTGCCATTTGTGAATCAGACTAACAAGGAACCCAATATTTAATTAAATGCAGCGCGCCCTCAGATTTTGGCTGTTCTCTCTCTTTTGGCCCTTGCTCGTTTTAGAAGCGACAACGGTTACAGTTGGGCGGCTGATGAGAGCAGAAAGGAAGGAGAGAGGGCGCTTGTTAGTAAAAACTAACACCTACAATCCTGAATCACTACGTAGAGAAAGTTCGCATTTGCATCGAAACATAAAAAGTGAGTTGTGAGTAAAAGACCTTGTATCTAAAAAATAATCAAAACTATACAAAACTTCTTTTTTGACTCAAAAAGTGCTTCTTGCAGTTATGTCACCACTGTACCTGCATCTGTATGAGTCACTTTGCAGTTTGAGATCCTGAGCCAAAGGAGGATGAAGGCTGAAAGTAGCAGGGACTCCATATTAAGTCTTCAGGGTCAGTTTTAATTTGACATCAAAGGTAAACATGCACTGGGACCGGTGACGTCCAGGTGGAAAAAGACCACATTTTTATCTTTTTTGGCTCTTTTTTATCTCATCAATATCAATAGAAGAGCAAGCCAGTTATTCTGCGTCAGAGGTGTTAGGAAGGGAAAGAAAGACAGCACAGGAGAGACGCGATTATGACTGAAACCTGCACTTGTCAAAGCAGCTCCAATCCTGGCTAATGCAAATCCATAACTCATACACACAAATGCATGCACGCACACTCCACTCGTACAAAATGTTCCTCTACAGATATTGAGTCGCCCCCCCCCCCCCCCCGCACGCAAC